TTTAGTTGGAGTCTCACTCTGTCACCCAGGCTAGAGTGCAATGGTGGGATCTCAGCTCACCACAACCTCCACCTCCTGGGTTTAAGCAATTCTCCTGCCTCAGCCTCCCAAGTAGCTGGATTACAGGTGTGTACCATCACACCTGGCTAATTTTTGTATTTTTATGTAGAGACGGGGTTTCACCATGTTTGTCAGGCTTGTCTTGAACCCCTAACTTCATAATCTGCCCGACTCAGTCTCCCAAGGTGCTAGGATTACACGTGTGAGCCACCAGGCCCAGTTGCAAAGAACAGATTTAACACAAAGTTTTTCAAATTTCTCATTGCATTTTGTAAGAAATACAAAGAGCAATCGTGAGTGTATAGAATCTCTACAGACAATAAAGTTCCCAAAAATATTAAAAACAAAACAAAACAATGTTGGAGGCAGTACAGTTCCTGATTTCAAAATACATTAGAAAGATAGAGAATTAAAACAATTTGCTATGAGTATAAAGGTGAAAAAGTGGACTAATAAAATAGAATGGTCCGGGCGCAGTGGCTCACACCTGTAATCCCAGTACTTTGGGAGACTAAGGATGGTGGATCATGAGGTCAGCAGTTCAAGACCAGCCTGACCAACATAGTGAATCCTTTTCCCGACTAAAAATACACAAATTAGTCAGGCATGGTGGCAGGTGCTTGTAATCCCAGCTACTCAGGAGGTTGAGGCAGAAGAATTGCTTGAACTCAAGAGGTGGATATTGTGGTGAGCCAAGAGCTCTCTATTGCACTCCTGCCTGGGTGACAGAGTGAGACGGCATCTCAAAAAATAAAAAAAATTATAATAATAATAATAAAAAATGCAATAGGATGCAGCACATATATAAAAACTCTCACATATATCGTAATATAAAGAAGAGTCATTTACATACCCACAATTATCTTACCATTGTTACTGAAAGCCAATAGGTAAAAGCAATGCAAATTTCTGTCACCAAATAGTTCAGTAGATATAATTTAAAATATAAAAATACAAAAATATTTACTCAGTTTGCAAAACAGCAGAAAGTATTCTAACTATAAAGGTAAATCTTGATGACATTATGCAAAATAAAATGAGCCAGCCACAAACAGAGATGTTATGAGTTCTACAAAGCAGTTACTCTTAGAAAGAGAAAACAGAATGGTGTTTGAAAAGTGCCAAGAAATGGGAAAAAGTGGTAGTCATTTAATGTGTATGGCAAAATTTCCAGAAATCTTTGATAAAACAATGTAAATATACTTAACATGCCTGAAATGGAGACTGTTTTTGAGTCAGGGTCTTACTCTATCACACAAGCTGGAGTCCATGACATAATTATGGCTCACTGCAGCCTCATACTTTCAGGTTCAAATAATCCTCCCTCCTTAATCTCCCAAGTAGACAGGATCGTACTACTATGTCTGGCTAACTTTTAAAATGTTTTATAGAGATGAGGTCTTCATATGTCTCTCAGGCTGTTCTCAAGCTTTTGAACTCACGCAGTCATCCTGCTGTGGTCTCCCAAAATTGGGGGATTCGATGTAAACCACCACCATCACTGGGCATGAAAGGTACACTTAAACAGATTGAAGATGGTAAATGTTATCCATTTAGACAAGATAAAGCAATCATTAAAAATCAGCTAAGAAAACATAAATACAAGATTAGCCATACACACATATATAATCAGATTGTAATAGACATATGGTTGATTTATCAATTAAGCCACGCAACTACCCACGGTATACACAGAATTGCAAATTGTCTAACACTATAAAACCAAAAAACACAATAAAGTATGTTAAAAAAACCTACACTGAGAAAACACACTAATACACAACTGCAAAACAATAAATGTTTACTCATAAACTCTGGTATGCAACATTGATGAAGCGTTAACAAAGAATTTGTGTGGATAACTACAATAGTTTACTGTAACTATGAACTCATTGAAGATGAGTATTTTGAATCATTGGCATCCACTGTAATGCAGTAAAGTTTCATATAAAATGCAGTATAATCCTAAACAGAAGATTCTAATGCCAAACTTTTGATAAATAATCATTTAAGTGAGATAATTTTTAAGTTTTAAACATATGCTATTCTTACAAAAAATAAAACTACTGTAATCTAAGTTTAGAAGCAAAGAATATCCTTACATTGCTAAATAAAGAAAATATAGGCTGGGCGCAGTGGCTCACGCCTATAATCCCAGCACTTTGGGAGGCCGAGGCGGGTGGATCACAAGGTCAAGAGATCAAGACCATCCTCGTCAACAAGGTGAAACTCCGTCTCTACTAAAAATACAAAAATTAGCTGGGCATGATGGTGCGTGCCTGTAGTCCCAGCTACTCGGGAGGCTGAGGCAGGAGAATTGCTTGAACCCAGGAGGCGGAGGTTGCGGTGAGCCGAGATCGTGCCATTGCACTCCAGTCTGGGCAACAACAGCAAAACTCCGTCTCAAAAAAAAAAAATTATATATATATATATATATATATATATATATATACACACACACACACACACACACACACACACACACACAGAGAGAGAGAGAGAGAGAGAGATTTTGAAGAATATTGTCAGAGCCTCAGATATATAAAACAAATATTTGGTAATGATTTATGGTCTATTTTAGATATAGGCTGACAAAAATGAGTGAAAATCTTATCATCTTTATTTAGCTGCCTACATTTACTTTCCACCTGCCTACTAATTATCTAATTTACTTCAGGCATAACATATAAATTCTAGTATATTGTCATAAATGTCTAAATCTAAAATTACAGACAAAATCAAAATAGAAAATAGAAAGTTAAAACGTCCAGGGAGAATGACATCACTAAGATGGAAAAATAAAAGGTGCCCTATTTGCCTATTTTCTGACAGCAAGAAAATTCATCTGCCATCCCTAACAAAAATGCCTTTATGAGAGAAACAGGAATCACGGCTCAAACTGTAATGACAGCTACATGGTACAGTGAGTCACAGAACTGCTTCAGCTAGGATTTCAAGACCAGCCTGGGTTATGTAGAAAGACCCAATCTCCAAAATCAGTGCCATTAAAAAAGCTTTAAGGTCCAGGGAGAAAGTTGTACAACTCTGCTAATACCCAAGATGGAGAAATTCTTTTCAGAAGACAGGCTTTGATTCAAGTGGCAAATTCTAGGACCCCTGTTCTTGGCTATAAACCAGAAAATGGCCCAGTGAGCTTGGTCCTACTGAGAATTCTGAACTTACCCTGTAATAATCCCAAACTCCTCCCAGCCACAGTCTGGGAAAGATCCCACCCTTCCAGAGGCCTGGAGGAAGGCACCCATTTATGGCCACGCTGTCAGGCCTGAAGACGTTGGCCCTCGCTGTGGTCCATGAAGCAGTTCCATGACTCAGTTTCAGCTCCCTGAGCCACAGTGCATGGCAAGTTCTGCCTATGTAGAAAGCCACAGTGACCTTGGGAAGTCCTCTCTGGTACTCAGTGAAAGCCAAGCTCATCTACATCATAATATAAAGCCTACCATATGAAGACCCAAGTGCAGAAACCTGACCTACAGTCTGCCAAACAGAGCAAAGGCCTGAAGAATATTCAGTCTGTCCAAAAATTAAATGGGAATTACAACTATCCAATCACCTTGTAACAAGCCAACTAAAGATGAACCCTAAGGCAGACCCAGCAGCCTTTGTAACCAAGCTAAAACCACTCTCCACTACAAAGCCATAGGGCATCCCAACACCCTGGGGGCTCAACAGAAGGTCTTCACCTTCTGAAACCAGTTTATAGAAAGTTGAAGAGGTTTTTGCTCCTTCAAATTCACAGACACCAATGCAAAAGTATACTGTGCCTATTCTCAACGCTTCTATCTGAACATAGCATTGGAAGTGTGTGCAATAAAAATTAGTCAAAAAATATTTTAGGTTATTGAAATTAAGACAAATTATTAAAAAGTTGCTTTTTGTAGATCATTTGATTGATCTTACATAAAAAACATAAACATTACATTAAAACCTAATTAAGGTAATAATTACACTCAATCAATTAGCAAAATAGAAAATTAACATACAAGTATAAGTTATGTTTCCATACACTTTAAACAAACGATCTGAAAAAATAGAGAAAGGAAGCAATCTTACTTACAATAGCACTAAAGTAATATATTTCAAAGAACAAATAAACCAAGGAGCTTAAATATCTTTCAAATAAAATATACATCAATTAAAAAAACTGAAATGACAAAAATTAATATAAAAACATTTCATGTCTATTGGTTGAAAGACTATCGTTAAAGTGCCATATTATTTATAGTGATTTTTCGATTTAATAAACTGTCTATCAAAATTTCAATATTTTCTACAGTAACAGAAAATGTAATTCTAAAATTCACTTAAAACTACAATAAATGTTGAATAGCCAAAACAATCTTGAAAAACAAACAACAAAGTACAACAACATAACTTAAAATTTCAAACTATATTTCAAGGCTATAAAAGGAAAAGGCAGAAAAATTAACAATACAAAAATAATGGAGTCCGGGCTCAGTTGCTCACGCCTATAATCCCAGCAATTTGGGAGGCCGAGGCAGGGGGTGAATCACCTGAGGTTGGGAGTTTGAGACCAACCTGACCAACATGAGGAAACCCCGTCTCTACTAAAATTACAAAAATTAGCCTGGCGTGGTCGCAGGCACCTGTAATCCCAGCTAACTGGGAGCCTGAGGCACCAGAATCACTTGAACCCAGAAGGCAGTGGTTGTGGTGAGCTGAGATTGCACCACTCCACTCCAGCCTGGGCTACCAGAGCAAAACTCCGTCTCACAAATGTAACAATAACAATAATAGAACAGAAACCACTACTCTCACACATTTTAGACATGATGTAAAAAGAGAGCTTAAAAAACAGTTTAATACATAAAATTTCTTCGTATTATGAGGATATCTGATTTTCAAAAACAATGATAGAGTGATCAGATTTTGCAGTTTCTTATGTGCCATGAAGAGGACTTTGGTTGTCACTTTAAATGCAAAGGAAGATCACTGAAGGAAAAGTAAAATCTTTAGGGATTTTAAATGATAAGACAAGACAGAAGATGTTTCCATGAGTCATCTGTTGTACTCACTTTCACTTTCACCTACCTTGGGGTTTGGCTACCATCTCATGTCTCATCACATTCCAGGGTTCTTTTCCTTGCTCCAGACAGGTGATCAGGTCTGGCTTAGAGGCAGCAATACCTGTTTTATTAAAAATTACAGGAATCTTGCTCATAGTCTACAATGACCAACTTAGTCGTGTGCTCAGTAAAAACAATGCAATAAAATATTTTAGTAAAATAATTCTAAAATACTAAATTATAACAAAATATTTTAAAACATACTTTAACTTTGTAAATTTGTAATTTCATTACCTGGTACTACTAAATCAAAAAGTAGTGGCAATCAGATTTTAAGATGTAATAAACAGTATGTTACGCCACTAAATTTCTAAACTTGACACTAATTTAGAGTGAAGGACACAGATCAGCTCAGGAATGTGGAAAGTTCAGGTCAAAATTAAACATCTTAAAATTCTTTTTTCCTAGACAAATCTTGAAGTTTTTTTAAAAATAGATCTGAAAGCAAAAATTATAAAAAATTATTCTACAAAAAAAGAAAGAAGACAGAAAGAAAGGAAAGCAAGAGAGAGAGAGAGAGAGAAAGAAAGAGAAAGAGAGAGAGAAAGAAAGAAAGAAAACTTATAGGATATATTATTAAATTGTCTATTGGAGTTATGCTCACCCAGGAAGACCAGGTTTCTGTAATTCTCTAACATCACATTTGTATATAAATTCTGCTGTGCAGTGTCCAGGCATTGCCACTCCTTCCGAGAGAATTCTATGGCCACATCCCTAAATGTCAAAGCTCCCTGAAAAATACACGCACACATACATATTAAACAAATGGAAAATGAGCAGAATTTTTAATTTGACTCAAGGTAAAACAAAATTAAAGATAGCTGCTTCTTACTTACAAGAGTGACTGGCAATATCTAGTAAATAACTTTCAACACAGAAATATTCTCTAAGGTATTCTCTAACTGTGAGAAAAGAGAATGGCATAAGGTCTACAACATCAACATATAGACGGTACTTTTCTGGTTAATGAGGTAGAAAACTGAGGGCATAAACACTAACATGTACATTTTTGAGTGCTATATTTACATCATACAGAATGAACTGTGTAAACTTTTCAGATGGAAAAGACATACTGAGTTAGAAAGTACTGCTCAAATTTGAATGTGTACAATAAACTGAAGACATTAATGCAGATTATTTATTCAGAGAATCTGGAATACAATCTGAGTTTCTGAATCTCAAACAAGCGCACCACTAATGCCAATGTTTTTGGCAAAAGAAATCTATTTTGTCAAACATCCAGTAAGTGAACGAGCCCGTGCATTTTTCAGTTTTTCTAGGCTGCAAACAAAGATGAGGGCTTTCATTTTCCAAAGATAGATAAATGCAACGAAAACCTAAGAAAGGGCAGCTACCAGATTAAAAGTGATTGTTTATCCACATCGGCTGCATAAAGATACTTAATAATGAAGAGAAAAACAATTAACTCAATAGAGAAAGAAATCTGTCACAAAGCTTATTAACTAAGTGGGTTATTAGCATGAAGACACATTTCTATAATGTGCTGAGGTACACAGGACACAGCATCACTGCCCCCTCAAGAGTAACTAATAGTGTGAATTTAATCATAAAGAAACATCAGATTCACAAGGCGTGGTGGCTCACGCCTGTAAGCCGAGTGCTTTTGAAGGCTGAAGCAAGCAAATAATGACATCAAGGGATCAAGACCATTCCTGGCCAACATGATGAAATCCCATCTCCACTAAAAATAAAAAAGTCACAAGCATTCCTATAACCCAACAATTAACACAGAGCCAAATAGTACATGAACTTCACAACTGCTACAAAAATAAAATACCTAGAAATACAACTAACAAGGAATGGGAAGGACCTCTTCAAGGAGAACTGCATACCATTGCTCAACTAAGAGAGCACACAATCAAATGGAAAAATATTCCATTTTCATGGACAGAAAGAACATCAGGCCAGGTGTGGAGGCTCACGCCTGTAATTCCAGCACTTTGGGAGGCTGAGGTGAATGGATCACCTAAGGTCAGGAAATTGAGACCAGCCTGACCAACACGGAGAAATCCTGAATCTCCTAAAAATACAGAATTAGCCGAGTATGGTGGTACATGCCAATAATCTCAGCTACTCGAGAGGCTGAGGTAGGATAACCGCTTGACTTCCTTGAACCCAGGAGGCAGAGGTTGTGGTGAGCTGAGATCACGTCACTGCACTCCAGCATGAGCAATGCCATCTCAAAAAAAGAAAAGAAGAATGAACATAATGAAAGTGGCCATACTGCCCAAAGTAATTTATGGCTTCGATGCAATTCCCACAAATAACCACTGACATTCTTCACAGAATTAGAAAAAAGAAACTACTTTAAATTTTATATGGAACCAAAAATGAGCCCGTATAGCCAAAATAATCCTAAGCAAAAACAACAAAGATGAACGCATCAGCCTACCTGACTTCAAGCTATACTACAAGGCTACAGTGACCAAAACAGCATGGTACTGGTATAAAAACAAACATACAGACCAAGAAAACAGAAAAGAGACCTCAGAAATAACCACACATCTGTAACTATCTGATATTCAACAAACCTGACAAAAACAAGCCATGGAGAAAGGATTCTCTATTCAATAAATAGTCCTGAAGAAACTCACTAGCCATATGCAGTAAATTAAAACAGAGCCTCTCACTTATATCTTCTACAAATATTTACTCAAGATGAATTAAAGGCTCAAATGTAAAACTCAAAACCATAAAAAATCCTGGAAGAAAACCCAGGAGGCTGAGCATGGTGGCTAATGCCTGTAATCTCAGCACTTTAGGAGGCCGAGGTGGAAAAATCACCTGAGGTTGGGAACTTGAGACCCGCCTGACCAACATGGAGAAACCCCTTCCCTACTAAAAATACAAAAAAATTAGCCGGGTGTGGTGGTGTGTGCCTGTAATCCCAACTACTTGAGAGGCTGAGGCAGGAGAATTGTTTGAACCCAAAAGGCTGAGGTTGCGATGAGCCAACATTCCATCATTGCACTCCAGCCTGGGCAACAACAGCAAAACTCCATCTCAAAAAACAAGAAAAAGTAAACCTAAAAAATGCCATTTAGGACATAGGCATCGGCAAAGACTTCATGACAAAAACACAAAAAGCAATTGTAACAAAAGCCAAAATTGACAAATAAAATCTAATTAAACTAAAGAGCTCCTGCACAGAAAAGGCAATCATCAGAGCAAAAGGGCAACCTACATGATGGGAGAAAATTTTTGCAATGTATTCATCTGATAAAGGTCCAATATCCAGAAGAAACTTTTAAAAATTTACAAGAAATACACAAACAATCTCATCAAAAAGTGGGCAGAAGATGAACAGACACTTCTCAGAAGACATTTACGCAGCCAACAATCATATGAAAAGTTGCTCAACATCACTGATGATTAGACAAATACCAATCAAAACCACAATGATATATCATCTCACACCAGTCAGAATGGTGATTATTAAAACATCAGAAACAATAAATGCTGGTGAGGCTGTGGAGAAATAGGAATGCTTTTACACGGTTGGTGAAAACGTACATTAGTTCAACCATCATGGAACACGATGCGGTGATTCCTCAAGAATTTAGAACCAGAAACATATTTTGACCTAGCAATCCCATTACTGGGAATATATTCAAAGGAATACAAACCATTCTACTATAAAGACACATGGACATGTATGTAATAGTTTATTGCAGCACTATTTACAATAGCAAAGAAATGGAACCAACCCAAATGCCCATCAATAATGAGGTATTGAAATGCGAGATTAAAATATTTACACCAAGACAAAAGTATGCCAAATTGCAGGGTCGTTTATTATGCTGGCAACCACAGAGGACTCCCATCTCTCCAACCTGTGGCTCCGAGCTCAGGGGGATCGGGGGGGTTTTAAGCTGAAAAACCACATCCTGGATTTAGGACCAAGAGGGTGAGGGTATGCAGGGCAAGCAACTTTTCAGCACTTTCTGATGAGCAAAGGCAAGCACTTCTGGCAGTTACTGATAAGTAAAGGCAAGCAACTTTACAGAAGCCAAGGTCAGCAGTTATTGCAAGGAGAATGGGGCAGTCGTTACAACTTATTTTTGGAAAATAGCTTTGTCTTCCACAAAATGGCATTGCTCAAGTTCTAACTATAAGCCAGCCATATCACAATAAGACTGGATAATTAAAACGTGGTACATATATACCAGGGCATATTATGCAGCCATAAAAAGAAATAAGATTATGTCCGTTGCAGGAACATGGATTAAGCTTGCAGTCATCATCCTCAGCAAACTAACACAGTCACAGAAAACCAAAAAGCTCATCTTTTCACTCACAAGTGGGAGTTGAACAATGAGAACAGGCCCGGGCGCGGTGGCTCACGCCTGTAATCCCAGTACTTTGGGAGGCCGAGGCGGGTGGATCGCGAGGTCAAGAGATAGAGACCATCCTGGTCAACATGGTGAAACCCCGTCTCTACTAAAAATACAAAAAATCAGCTGGGCATGGTGGCGCATGCGCCTGTAATCCCAGCTACTCAGGAGGCTGAGGCAGGAGAATTGCCTGAACCCAGGACGCGGAGGTTGCAGTGAGCCGAGATTGCGCCATTGCACTCCAGCCTGGGTAACAAGAGTGAAACAACAAAAAACAAAACAAAACAAACAAAAAAAAAACAATGAGAACACATAGACACAGGGAGAGAAACACACATCAGGGCCTGTTG